ATAGGTTAAAAAAATCCTTTGCTTAATTGACCAAAGTATTCTCCTTCACAGGGGCAAAACGGTTATTTTGCAATATAAATTCTACATTTCATTCTCCTGCCGCTCGGCTAAAATTTACTTTAATTCGAAGAAAACTTCGTACTAATTCCTTTTCTTCGAAATTTGTAATTATTATTATAATGTCGGAAGGTGGAATATTCTAATGGTTGGGCCATGGCCACCGCAGCCACTTTTCTGAATTTGAAAACGAAAATGGCATAAGGTTTTTTTCGTAACATGTGTTTTTTATTTTGTATTATCTTTTTAATATATGATAATTACATTAAATTCAATTAATTTAAAATTAAATCTCATTAGATTTTATGTGGAGAAATTCTCTCAACACCTGTTTTTTCGTTCACAAAACTCGAATTCCTGTTTCTTCATTCATAAGACTCAAATTTAAAATTTTGTTTAAAAAGAATCGAACTCCTTCTACGCAAATCAATAAATTGTTGGTTGTAACATGTGTATTTATATTGTATATATTTAAAATATATTTATTATATATATTTATTATTAATTTATATATATAACTATAATAATTAATTTTACTTTTTAATACTAATATTATATATTAATTTAATTAAATAATTAGTAAAAGTAAAATCAGTTTTTATTATTTTTAAATTAATGATACAATAAATATACTCTTAAAAATATGTATTAATAAATTTCAAAATATAATTAGGATTTAATATACTTTTTAGTCATTAATTCGTATAAAAACACAAAAAATGTGATGTTAATTTTGATATTAATGTCACATGTGTTAATTTAATTGATTAATTATTAAAATTAAAGTCAAATTTTATTTTTTCATATCACTTAATAATTCACAAATATATTAATTGTATTTTTAAATGTTACATGAAAGATACATGTTAAAAAATTTATATAATTATAATATCACATGATATTAATTATATAATCTTATAATATAATGTATCATTATATATTAATTTATTTTTCTTAATGATTTACTTATAATATTATATGTATTAATTTATTTAATAATATGTTATAATTACATGTTTATAATTTTAAAATATTATTATAATTTAAGCATTTCTTATTTAAAAATAAATTAATCGTGTCGAATATAAAGAAAAGTGGGCAACGGACATGTGTAGGTAAAAGCTGCAAGAATGAGCCCAGGTCCCGTTTGGACAAACCGAGGTTTCCGAATTTCGAATCAAGCGAACGAATTTCAAAATGAAAGTCAAGATGACGGAGCCGTCACCATGGGTTACGCAAACGCGAGCTATCGTCAATCCACGTGTCGGTGGAATGAAATTATGGGGTTTTTGCCGTTAGCCTTTTTTCAACGATTCGTGACTGTGCTGTCATGTGATCGATGCCGAACCTCTAACGACGATCATTTATATTCGCACAGTTTTTTGGAATCCCAAAATCTCTCGACCCCCACTCGCGTGTAAGACACACTTCTCCACATTCTGGATTTTAGTTTTTTATTATTATTATTATTATTATTATTATTATTTTATTAATTTCTCAATATTTAATAATCACATTAAATCTCAATTAATTTGAAATCTA